ATCCATCCACTTGCTCAGGTCAATTTAGTGGTTTCAGTTGGTAGATCAAAACTGCATTCACCTTACAATTTCATATTATACATATGCACGTATACAGGCATTCATGTAGAAAAGTATGTACACATGCATGTATAGGAAGAAGGTTAAGTAGAGAAACTTGCTATATGAACCAGCCTATTTCTGCCACATGGAAGAATCTTGTGGTCAATCCCATCCATCAATTGGGTAAGTTGTCTGGATTTGCCATGCTTTGCAGTCCCCATCATCCCCATACCCCACTTTTTAGTGGAGCTTTACCCAATTAAAAACAGCCATTCAAAAATTTAATTTTTTTAGTTTTGGAAAAGTTCATAAAGAAGGGCCTTGCTAGAATACATGACAGTTTTTTAGGTTGAACTTTTCACCCATTAACAAATATTAGAGAAACACAAGGGCTCTTTTTCATTCCCCAAAGAAGTTTCCATGTGGAAAATTCCTGGGTCATTTATACACCTTCATTAAGCAACCTGACTAGCAGTTCATGTCAATAGACATACAAGTGCGCATGTATATGGTGCCTTTACAATGCTCATTTGAAAACCATGATTTTGAATATCCTCTTGTTGTTGGCTCCTTCATCATGTCAAAGTTCATACTTCATAACAATGTTGTCATTTTTTTCCATCCTAACTTATAAATTTGATAAATTCTTTTCCACCTTAACCTTAATCGTAGCCATTCATGTTGCTAGTGACAGTATCTTGATAATATATGATAGTTTCTAAAACTTCATATGCTTCATCAGTCTATAGGAGCTGTAAATACAATTATAAGGAGGCCTACTGATGGGAAACTGGTTTGGTTATAACACAGACTGTGAAGCTTCTATAACCGCAATTGAGGATGCACTTAGAGGTACTATCATTGACATAACAGTTTCTCTAATCAAATTGCAGCCTTGTCCTTTTCTTGAGGGCTCAAACTGCCTTCTCATTTAGATTTATGGTTAGTATATAGTGTCTAGTGGCTTCAATAAATGGATGACATATCCTAAAACCTACTTTCCCACCCAGGAAAAAACTGTAGATAGCTCCTGCATATTTGGGAAACAGATTTATGAGGATGAAATGATCTTCTATTGGTAAGAGAAAAGGCTCTAGATCTAGGATTCTTTGCTATTAATTTTTAGATTTCATGGTTTTAGTAACCATCCAGTTATTTTCAGCTTCCAATTTAAGGAGTATCATGCTGGAAAAGTTCCTGTAGCTCAAAATCTCTAAAGAAAGGGATGAACTTTGTTTATTAATAGATACACAATTTAAAACTTGCAGCAACGAAAGGAACTGAAAAGGCATCACTCACTTCTCCAATCACTGGGAAAATGTTTGTGCTTGTTGGTGCTGGAGGTGCTGGAAGAGCATTGGCATTTGGTGCCAAAAGTAGGGGGGCAAGGCTGATAATTTTTGACATAGACTATGGTAAGATACTGAAATATCTTCTCTAATATGATGGTGGAGCATGTCTCTTATCTTCTGATTTTATCCAATCCTTTCTAACCATCATGGTTTTATTTGAAAAGATAGAGCAAAGTCCCTGGCCTGCTCAGTTTCAGGGGTAGCTCATCCTTACAAAGATATTGCTAAGTTCCGTCCAGAAAGAGGAGCAATCCTTGCAAATGCCACCCCATTAGGAATGCGTCCAAACAAAGATCGCATTCCTGTTGCTGAGGTTGCTCTTAACTTTTCATTCAGAAGTCAAGACAGAGTACTTCTAGAAATAAAAAATTTAATCTTTATTTGTTTGATTAGGATACCTTGGGAGTTTACCAGCTTGTATTTGATTCGGTTTACATACCTAGGAAGACCCAATTGTTGAAAGAAGCAGAGGCTGCTGGAGCTCTCATTGTGAGTGGAGTTGAAATATTCCTTCTTCAGGCTATTGGTCAGTTCGATCTATTCACTGGAGGAGAAGGTACTAATTTTCTCCTTGTTCTGCATTCCATACCTCTAAGCTGACAATGCAAGTCTTGAATTTGTTTCCAATTCTTATTGCTAGGAAGACTATGCATCTAAACAAGAATGTAAGCTAACCATTTCAAATAATCTGCATATTATATCTGTTTAAGGTTCAGTCTTTTTGTGTATGCAGCACCAGAAGGGTTCATGCGAGAGATAGTTTTAGCAAAATTCTGAGTTATTGCATTGAGAACAAATGCTGTGGCATGTAACTTCTTGCTTATTTATAAGTGAGAATTCAATGGAAATAATACAAGAAGCATAAGATGTTGGTTAAGATTTTCTATTGGAGCTGTATCGACTGTCAAATGGTGCTGAGCTCGTGGAGGGCTCTAATCAATGTAATAAAATTACTAGTTCCTATTGATTAATAAAGTCACTTGATCATAGAATCATGACATACTCATCTCATCTCATACATATCAATCAGAAACAATCAAAATTTCACAAGTAATCCACCTGAAATGGCTAGAACTTAAGGCTGCACTTGGTTTGACAGAAAATAAGAGAGAGAAAGTTGAGTTCTTAACAAATTGTGTTAGTAGAAAGCATGAAGGAAACAGTTAGATCTGGTCTTGATAGTGATGATGAGTATTAAAAAGTTAATCTTGTAGTTATGCATTTTGTTTTTTTTTTCTTCTCGTTTTAGGAAATTATCCACAGCTCTAACATTTCAGCTATGAGTTGGCTTATTATTAGTATTCAACCACCAAGTGAATTAGCATCCTGAATCTTTCTTCTGGTATGAAACTTAAAAGAAGCTTAAAGAGCCGTGACATCTGATATGGATTCACGCGTGAAGACCAGGGTGCACCACGCAGTGCAGTCCAAGTTAAAAAGATGAAAGCTCCTTGACACCTCAGTGCTTCCAGGAGACTGGCACCTCTGTCATAAGTTAGCATGGATTTCTGCACCACATACAGGGATGTATGTCATGAAGCATGACAGTCGATCTGAAAAGATCATGAGCAATTTTTGGATCACCCGTATCACTGGTAATGTTTAGCCTCTTTGTCCCTGTGAATATTCAGCTCGTACCCACTAGGCCACTAGCTCAACTGAGTTGCCCCAATTCCCAGAAGTGGGTCCTTCAAATCAGGGATGGAAAATACTCCTGCTATACGGGCAGTAGGGTTTTCAGTTTCTAATCAACAACGTACAAAAAGGGTGTTATTTTATAGTTGATTTTCACGTAGAGAACTTGGGTTTGCTGAGTGGTTCAACCTGAAACTTATTGGCCTGATAAGAAATTAAGGGTCCATTTGGTTCGCAGTTAGAATCGGAATTGGAGTGGTCTATTCCCATAGTTTATTTGGTTCAAACAGAAAGCAGAATGAAAATTGGAATCAATTGGAACGGGTTTTCATTCCCAGAGGGGGCGGGAATGGGCATTCCCTCAAATGGGGAATTGCCATTCCACCAGTTGGAATTGGAATGGCCCATTCTGATTCTAATTCCAGATCCCTATTTTCACAAACCAAACGGGCCCTCAGAACTCAGGCTGGGTTTGTTATCCTGGGTTTTAAAATTGGAAGACAAAGCCGTGCTTATGAAAAAAGCTGACGACTATAAAATAATTTATATCAACATATAAGCCCAATTATAAAAGGAGTTTTCTTCTCTAAATCAAAAAGCAATCAACTTGGATTATTTGCAAATAAGTGACTACTATCTTAACACTGAACCATGAATTCCTGGGGTACTATATTCATGATTCTTGTCCCCTTCTGTAATTGAATTGATATTCTACTAAATTGGTTATGATTTCAGTACATAGATAATTGGGTTGATAAACTTGAAAATCTCAAAAAAGAAAAAGCAGATGCAGATGGAGATGAAAGGGTAACGACAGAGTTCTGAGGTTGCTTGGTAGCATGAACTGTCAATTTGCAGACAATACGAAGTGACGACTGACACTACAAATTGCCCATTCAAAGAAGAAATATTACTAGCTATTGGAAGTGCTTATTTTGAAGGCCCACTCATCAAGTGGTTCTCCACAAATTGCTTTCTCCTATATAGAAAACTTAGGCTGCATTTGGGATGGCTATTAACTTTTAATAAACGCTTCTGTATCTTATTGCTTATTAGAAGCCAAAACCAAAAGCACCTAAACAAGCCAGAGATGACATTTGGTGAAAACAAGCCCAAAAAATGCATTTCGAAGAAGCCAAAAATTTGGGTTTATGACTAATTACGTTTTGGAGAAACCTATTTATGAAGAAAAAAACAGTTTAGGATGATCACACCAAATACTCAAAATGTGTTTATCTAATAAGCATTTATTCATAAGCCTGTTTAATCTGGGTTTGGAAGTGCTTTTAWGCACYTACCAAACGTTTAAAAGATTGGGTAAATTGCACAAGTCTCCTCTGAAGTTGAGCAATTGCAATCACCTCTCCTTTTAACTTTCTATTACAGTTAGAAGTAGACCCCCCTCTGACAATCTTCCAAAAAGGGCATGAAAACATTCAAAATACCCATACAGTTACTATTAAGACTAATTTCTACCAAAAAAATTACAAACTTTATGAACAATAAAAACAAAGATAATTTAAAATTGCAGCCCTTTGAATGATTGATATAATGGATAAATTTGAAAAATAAATTAATTTCAGAAAAGAGATTAGAAGGGTTTGGGACAGTGATTTCAGAAAAGAATTTAGTCAAAAGCAACTGCATGGGTATTTTAGACATTTCCATGCCTCTTTTTGGAAGATTTTACCATATCAGAGGAGATGGATTGCAATTACCAAATTTCAGGAGAGGTGATTAGTAAAATACCCAAAAATGGCACTTCAAAAAAAGCCCGTTTAGAGAAGAGTTTTGGACTTTTTACTTATGTTTCGGAGAAGCGCTTTTATAAAGAAAAAACCTGTTTAAAATATCACACCAAACACTCTTATAAACACTTACTTGAAAATTCTGTTTAAAAACAACAAGAACCTACACCCCCCTTCCCCTAAACACCGCGGTAGACTCCTACACCTCCAATTAGAATTTGAATTTCTGTGATATGAATCGTTTCTTTCAACAATGGAGTACGCAATTGGGTACATAATGATTGATTAATTGATTGTATTTGAAATTTTGTATCAAGCTTCAGCTTGGCATCCCAAACTACTTTGGGGATTTGGACGGTACAGCAGTCATCAAGTGCTGTAATGTAACAGAGTGGGCCTTTCCGGCCACAGAAAGGGATAGAGCGTGGAAATTCCAGTACCAGCTTTTCAGTATTGATGGTACGAGGGAATATGCCTAATCACCTGCCCAATGCCGCCGGGAACCGCACGAAAGGACTACTATGTCCAGGGAGGGGCTCAGGGCTGGGCTGAAGATGTTCCATTCAGCTCTGGATAAACTATTTAAAGTCTGTTTGGGATTGGGAGGGCCTTTACACAGTGGATTCTGGCATAAGGAAAGCCCAAGTCAGTTCAAGCAACACTGAAAGCGTCACATATCAAAGCAGACAGCCCTTCAAATGACCATCAGCCAATTTGGGCTTTCTAGATGTGGGGCCCACCCTGGAAGGTCATAGGCGCAGCTGCACTTCAGCCCTCCAAACGGGCACTGATGGGATTAGTCTAATTTTGCACCCACCAATTAAGCTGTTAAGCTTTGCTCCACAGAAGAAAAACCCATTGGAACAAAGCAAAGGCCGCCCGTTTATAGAAGGAACGAAATACATCTTAGGCCATCTACCGCAGTGGAGCATGTCTGTCTGCATGCACCCTTCACATTATTCCATGTATGTTATATGTACGACTCCAATAGATCTTCTCCCTATCTCTGAGACTCTGGGAGAGAGAGATTCAAGAGATTTTCATACTTCTTCTCAACTCATCGACCTCTTCCTTTGGGCAGATTAACATCTTTCGCACYATGGACCGGAATTCCCTGCTTTGTCAAAAGAGAGAAGAAAGAAAAATATGGAGTCAGCTTCAACTTTCAAGTGTTTGGATGGAGAATTGCCACCAATGACTAACCACTGTAACAAGAAAAAGAAATGAAAATAATACTTAACAGCCACGAAGTATCCCCCATCAACATTGTGTAGCCTTCATTATCTGTGTATACAACCTCCCAGCCATTGCTTTGGTCCTTCAGCTTCCCATTGAATTCGAACATTCGGTCAAGCTCATGTACAAGTTCATCATACCCATTGAATCTTGTGAGGTCCACCGATCGCCCAAGAGCAGTCCCATACTTGTGGACCTGATGCCAACACAAACCATGTTTGTTAGTAGGAGCACACTTGGACACATTGACTCAAGAACAGTTTAGAGCAGAGCACTACAAAGTTAACCTTTGTGCAACTCCGGGTAGTAACTGAGCAACAACTTTTGCACGGCTTCTCCACAAGGCCACCAGATTCACTGGAATTAGATGACTTCATATTCTTGGATGGCTCTGAGAGCTGCACAGAGTCTGATGTGCCCGATTGGGATGCCACCATAGGAACAGGGGAAGGATGCCAGACAACGCCAGGAACCATGGTATGTGATGATAGATGCTCCATTGGATTTTTAGTTAAATTGACACCAAAGAGCATGCAAGTGCCACTGCGTTTTGGTTGGGTAGATGGCATCTCAAATACTTCCCCAGGATCAGGAGCCCTCTTTCCTTGAAATCCAGAACTCTGGGAACCAACATCTGAAAAAGAGCAATTCCCGGACACATACAAGGAAAATGGTGTCGGCCAGTAGCCATTCAGTCCTGAATCCTGTGAAATTCCATTGGGGATAGGTAGGGCATTGCCAGGATAAAGATACAGTGGATCATGCATTGGAAGGGACAAATTATTCTCCAACGACATTTGTGCTTGAACTTTATCAGAGCTTGTGGGAGTAACCAAGTGCAACAAAGATGCATTCTGTATGCTTCCTAATCTGTGAGCACTTRTGGCCCCAATTTCTTGACCTTGCAAGACCCCTGACTGTCCCTGAGCTGGTGCATGCTTGATTGAACGCTGTGATAAGCCTAGACAATGGAACCAATCCAATTAGATGAGCCAAATGGTATCAATAACATAAACCTGAGGACTCACATAATCCTAGAGAATGGAACTAGTTTTTTCAGTTGCAAATCTTATCCAGACTTTCATGCCGCAGGTGTCAAACCTTTTAAGAAGGCAGCTAATGATAATGTTTCCTTTTTGGTAACTAGAATTTATGTTTCAAACATCATTTCGAAGTTGAAACTACAAAGGAAAATCAAAGACTACTGACCATCCGCCACTACCATAGTGGATGATTCAAGAGGTGCTGAACGCAGAGTACGCATTCTCTTTGATTGTGGTAGAAATGAAAGTTGTCTCATGTCACTGGCTTCAAATGATTCAATCTTCCATGGAGAAACCCTGTCAGGAAGTACAACTGTTGTAGGGGTTTCATCCCACTGTACCTACAAAAAGATAAAACCGATCTTTACTTGAACAAAGAAAGCAACAATTAGAAGAACAGACCCTTAGTAAATGAAAGACATAAACAATGATATAATGGAAAAACCAGCAACCTTGAGACACCTCCACTTCGAACCAGGCCAGCTAACTGGGTCAGCATCTTCTATACCAACTACAGTTCCTGCAAGTCTGCATTGCCACAGACACAAATATCATTAAGCATAACTCAAGAAAAAATAACCATGCAAAAGACCCACAAGGAAGTGGTTTCCTCACCTTTGCTCTGGGCATTCTTCAGACTCAATCTTCATCCTGAATCTCATTCCAATTGAATGCAAATTACTAACTGATGTCATGTATTGATCACAAGGAATTATGAATTCAGATGGATTTGTCCTGTGGAAGATAATTACAATAAATACAGATTTTACTCCAAGCAAACCGCTAAATTACAATCCCCATCCCCCAGATGACATGGTAATTTCTTTACCTAGGCCGGTAATACACACTGAACATGGTCCCAGTAGAAATGGCATGGGACGCAGTGGCAAGAATGCCAAGTTGCATGCTATGACCAGATATGACAGATGTTGAAGTATTGTTTTGAAGCTTCATAGCACGACGAACTCCAACACGAAGTTCTCCACTTTCTCCCCTGAGAAAAAAAGATTTTTTTAATCTAACCAATGAARAAACTGATTGTGCAATAAACCCATAATTACAAGATGTTAGAGATGGAGAGACCTAAGGAAAATAAAAGTGTCCCCAGCAACAAGCCTCTTTGCACTGACAAAAGTACTCCATCCACTGGTAAGTAGATGTCGCTTTGGTTGACCTATATTTGTGAAGGGAAAGCCAAAATTTAGAAGAGTACGATGGATGGAGGAAAGGAGAACTACTTTGAACACCAACTAATGAACCATCAGTGAAGCAAGTCTAAAATAAGAAATCTAATAAATTACGTCTAAACATATAGTTTGATGAACTGGTTATTTCATGATGAAATACAATCTAAGGGTTAAGTTGAACCATAGGTGCCCAAATTTATGAAAACTTGCTAGGTGAAGCTCACCACGATATATGTGGCGGAAACGCCACTCTACCCCTTGAAGGTCTTTTGCTACCAGTTCCTGTGATGGCGGTTGCTTGGACATGTCCTACAACAGCAAACAATAAGTTATGTATAACACCTGTATGAACTTATTTAAATATTTAAAATTAAAAAGAATTAGTCAAGTGTAAACGACTCCATAAGGAAGGAAGTCCATATGAGGTCCCAAAAGAGTCAAGCAACATTCACAAGAAACACAGTAAGCCAAGAAAGCAAAAAATAGCGTAGCTTAGCCAAATCCTTGTTACTTGATAGGTAGTAAACTAGTAGCACATTCAATATTTCCAATGGATGACCCAGGAAGGACCATTCATCATCCTGAAGAATTCAGAGCCATTTGCATAAGGGGGATTGGWGCCCTTGCACCCCATCCCATGTCTATGGCGGCATATAGACAGGTGCATATCTCATGATTTCCTGTCACAGGCATTCCGCTATATTCATGCTTAAACTTGATTGGAGATGCCAAAATTTTGAAAAAATGGTTTATTTGAATCCGAAACTGTAAAAGCCTACTAAGTACTGACCAGAGGTGGAAGGCATTCATCAGCATGTCTCTTAAGAACAGAGAACCCGCCATGTGTGCTTGTATCAGATGCAGTGAGAATCTTGCAAAAGGAGTACACTTGAGGCCTTCGAGGAAAAGACTCAAAATTTCCTTTATCCAGACTAGACGACTCCTGATGCATAAATCCAAAACCATCACCATCTAGCAACCCACCAATAAACAAATAAATCGCAATCAATCATGTGGGTATATGAGCGATAAACCAATTTCAACAATTAGGTAACCTTCGTCTCTGGAAGCAATGTTACTTGGGCGTACACCTCATCTGTCTCCACTTCAGCCTGCAAAACCACGAATCAGAAACAAGAACACCAATTAAGTACGCCATTAGCAAACAACACAACAAACATCTCCCCACCTAAACTTGTTAACCCACACAGATTACTGAAACTGAATTAAAATTGTGAAATATGTTTTTGTGTGTGTTCAGACCTTTAGTTCAACGTTGACAACCCTGCAGAGGATCTTTGATGGGAGACTGTAGATCGGCAATGGCATAGTACGGTCATTTGTTGTAAATGCCTCAACCTACAAAGGATTAAGGATAATAAATACAAACTAAGAGAAGAATGACTTCGTTAAATTGTTCATCGACGCTGAATTACATGAAGAATTAACAGTGAAAGACAGGCAGGGGAGAAGATAACCTGTTCGATGTGTCCTTGAGGGAAGTAGAAGACCAGCTCCCCAATTCGAGGAACAGTAACGAGGGGACCAGCGCATGCATGCCAAAGCTCCCAGTACAGTTGATCTTTCTCCTCTGAATCGGAACAAGAGAACATATTAACAGAAGACCCAGAAAGGTTATAAGCAACCCATCTTTTTTCTTCCTCCATTAGTTAACAAGAACACTGAAAACCATTTCCCAGTGAAGACGAAACCACGTTAAACTTGTTAATAACATAAACAAATCAGGAAATAATTATTAAAAGAAACAGAAATACACAGTATATCACACGATAGATGATCCAACCAAGCATAGATATACCACCAGAAACCAGAAAATTGTACAGGAAATGGGAATCTTAACTCGAGTTTCAAACAAAGAGAAGAACAGGAAGGCCAGGGAAATGTAACGCCAATGGCAACTTACAGTGAAAATTAAAAAAAAAATATATATATATATAGAGAGAGAGAGAGAGAGAGAAAACAGTCTTCTTCTAAGTTCTAAACGATTGAAACGGAATTCCCAACGAAGGAGAAAGAAGATAATAAACATCAAAATGCAGTAATGCAGCTCTGTTTACTCTGTTGAAGAAGGAAGAAATAAAAAAACGAAAAGAAGAATAAATAAATAATTACAACCTTGAAAATGGGAAAGAAACAATGAAAGAAGAGAAGACACCCCAAAAGTCCATTAGTTTAATGAAACCTTTTCCTTCCAGAAACAAAGAAGAACAACAATAAAATAGTACCCAGTTGCCTCCCAGCACAGAACACCACCTTAGAAGCTACAGCAGCTTCGACAAATGAAATAAAAAGAAAAACCACCGACAAATCACAAGAAGAAGACGAAGAGGAAGAATAAGGACGCAGACACGCCACCTTTTCTTGTAGAACCCATGTCCCGCTTATTGCTGCTACTGTCCTCGTACCTCCCTTCCAAGTTCAACTGCTCTCCAACAATGGCAGAACCCATCCCCTCCCTCCCTCTCTCTCTGTGAGAGATCAAGAGAGTACGAACAGTTCTGAAAAACGAAACAAAATGCAACAGAGAAATGAAAGACGACCCTCGAAACTTCAGACCTTTCAGACAACAAACCTTAACAYCAGACAGACAAAGAGACCTTTATAAAATCAGGTGCCCTACAGAGCCTTCAATGTGGGACTCTACACCTCACCCACTCCCTTCTCCCTTCCTTTTATACTTCCTAGAGTGAGAGACTGAGACAGAGACGAACTTCTCTCTCTCTCTCTCCCCCCTTCTGTAACGTTTAACTCTTCAAGTGCTCAACGCCTTCTCATGTACACCTGCCATTGCTTGCTGCCTCATTGCCACCGTACACCCATTTCTCTAACCACGAGTCAACTTTTGTAAAGCCGAGCGCGCGTAAAACCCTCTTAACCTAAACAGCTAAACTAACCACGGTTAGTTTTCCCTCCCGCCGACCGCCGGCGATTTTGCCGGTGATTTCCTTCCAATCTGTATTGTATTGTATTAAGGTTTCTCTCTCCTTCACACGCTTTTTGGTTCAATGAATACAACCCACGGCAAACTAGCAAAGATCATTTCCGAGAATCATTGGATTCGAATATTTTGTGGGGTCTGGTTGTGAGTATTCCTGTCCGGAGGCTGATTAGAGATGGCCCTGTCGTAAGGACTGTCTCATGTTATCAAGACCGAAAAGATGGAAAGTTGGATTGGGCGAGGCGATAGATGGAAAAGAGAAAAAGACAAGCCACGGAGATAATTAGAACGGCGAAAGCGACACGTCATCGAATCGGAGCATGCCAGGGCATTGATGGAAAAGGCGGCTCCTCCTCCTCCTCCGCCTCCTCCGTTGGCGCTCAGCGCCGTTAAAACCGCCGTTACATTAACAACCGGCAACCGTCTTCCCGTTAACAGTAACGGCGTTACTTCCCTCAACTGTCGCCCGTTTGGCTGGCAGGGTCACCCAGAAAAGCCTTTTCCGTTTTCCTCACATAGCCACGTGTACCGACATAGCCACGTGTCACCTGAAAAGTTGAAAAAGGTTAAAAGAGAGGAGACCGGATCTGCTCCTCACACACAGGGCGCATCACACCGACCTCACAGAGCGGTTACGCCTCTCTCTCTCTCTATATATGAAATATGGCGTTGGACCCATTATACAGAGCTTTCATTTCAAGCACACGCGAGGTTTGCTCTGTTTCCTTTGTCTTTCTCTCTTTCTCTCTCAGAGAGTGTGAAGCTGTGAGGCTGGCTAAATCCGTTACAAACTTTATTTGAAAAGGAACAATTCAACTCAGAATTGAATGTAGAGCCTGTGTACGGTGGATCTTGTGCATCATGTGGGGGCCGCAATGCACAAGATCCACGATGTGCATTGGGTAAAAAAGAGCAAAAGTATTATTTATATTTATATATAAACCAATTTAACAATGTTTTTTGAATGGAGAGTGGAGTGGACACCCAATTACTTTGATCGGCTTTTTCTGTTAAAGCTTTTTTTTTTTCTTTCACTTATTCAACAATTTAGCCATGAATTTATAAGATCACATTACAGTGGAAATAATCATCATTATCATATAAAAATTACCTAAATGAATGTAAGTGGCCTTCATTAATTTGGGTAATGGGTAAAAACGAAGATACACCCACTAGTGTTGTGGAACCTTTTTAAAACATTTTAGGGCAGTTGATATATATGGAGAGATAGTTTAAGAAAAAATTTAGAGGAAATAATTTAGGTGAATAAAGAGAGAGAAAGAGGGTTTAGGAAAATAGGGGTGTTGAGTTAGCAAGCTGGGAATGTAAAGAATTGTATTTTGAGGGGGGAGAGAGAGAGAGAGGAGAAGCCTTGGTTGAGTAAGAGGATAAAGGAGATGACATATGATGTGGATTTTTGTGTATAATATGTTGTTTTTTGGCATACAAGAATGAAACTTTCATTCTCCCAAGGATTTTTTTCTTTTTAATGTTTGTTTTGAAAGAAAAGCAAGGGAAAGAAAGATAATTGGAGCCAAGTGAAACATAGTTAGCTAAAGTAATTTTCTACTTCATTCTGATAAATTGATAATAATCAAATAAATATGAATTAAAAGTTTAGCTTGAAGCAAAAAAGTTGTTTTGAAGTTTTTTTCTTATGTCATAATTTTCATCAATTTAGTCTTTATTAAATCACATGATTGTATAATAAGTGGAAAAGCATGGTAGCCATATATAGGTTTTCTCTTTCATTGGTAATTACTTGTATATATGCTGTAATACTAATTTGTATTTTACCTAAGTGAAACATAGTTAGCTAAAGTGTCTTTTGTATTTAACTCCGAAATATGAAAGTATTCGAATAAATATGAATAAACATAAAATTAGCGTGAAGGAAAATTTGTTTGTAGAATTAGAAAGTTTTTTTTTTTCTTGTGCAACAAAATTGAACATTCTAGTTTTTATAAGTCACATTATTGTTTAATGCTATCTTACATTTTAATGCTTATTAATTAATATATAAAGTAAAAAGAAGTAAATAATTTACTAAAAAAGCTAAGAAAATTTATTGTGACAACAACTCATAAATAATATGGAAAATTTCCGATTAGTACCATGTACTTTGGGCCTAGTACCACTTTGGTCCCCGAACTTTAAGATGCGATAATTTAATATCCGAACTTCCAAAACGTGTCAATTCAGTATCTACCGTTAACCAACTGTTAACTAGTCGTTAAGTGGCATTTGAAAAAGACACAAATGCCCTTCGAGTGCCATCTARTTTTCTTTATCAACCATCCAAATGTGTTGACAATAAAAATTAACAATCCCAAATCCTTGTTTCTTCTATTCAAGAAAGTTGGGATCATGTCTCAGTGGGCATTCGGGACCCCAATGTTCTTGAATAAAAAAGGCAAGAATTTAGGACAGGTTAATGGTGGGTACTAGGTTGACATGTTTTAGAAGTTTGGGTACTAAATTGTCACATTTTAAAATTCAAGGACCAAAGTGGCACTAAGCCCAAAGTACAAGGTACTAATTGGGAATTTCCCCTGAATAACACAAACAATGGTGACCTGCTCATTGTTAAACTGAAACTCTTGCCAACAAAACATATATGCATGTTCCAACAACCTACCAATATGATTTGACACCACACATCTTACATAATGTCTCCTAGCCTCATGGTGAGATGTGTCATGTTGGTAGGGTGTTGGAACATGTTTTATTGGGCAAGAGATCCCAACTCTCATTGTTATAGTATATCGTTTAAAATGCCATTACATTACCAACAAACCAATAAGGCAACTGAATGTTAGAATTAAATTTTGCGTTATCTTTAAATTGTCTTTACCCACATATGTATTTATTTTGGTCCACACTTTAATTTCATTCTTAACTAAAATTTACTCATGTCGAAGGACTAGTCTTCGCCAACGCCCATCTTATCTATTGCCACGTGTAACATACATGTTAATTTTACAAAGCTTTTCAGCAAAAGGCTGGGGCTGTTCACGGGTCGGGTTGGGTCGGTTTACTATGATTTTTCCAATCGACCCGACCTGGTCGGGTTACCTGACATAGAAATCGAAACCGACCCAATGTTAAGCAAAACCGACCTGGTCAGTTTGAATTGGGTTGGATTTGGTTCTAAGTTCATCCATTTGATAAAATCTTGCTAATTTTAAAAACAGTCATAAATTGAACATCATTTCAACTATCTCCTATGATAAAATTTAAATGAAAAGTTAATCACAAAAGTTGTTCATTAATCACTATTCACTAATCCAAAGTTTCTTGCAACCATTCAAAAACTAGGTGGCCTAATGGGCTTTGGAACTTCATGTTTGAAGTAGGAACTAAGTCGGTTCAGTTCGGGTCAATTTCGGTTTTCTTGTGTGAAAACCGAAATCGACCTGAGTCATCGGTTTAGGAATTTGCACAACTTGAAACTGACCCGTGCTGATGAAAACCCGGCCGACTCAGGTTGGGTCGGCCCGGATTGGTCGGTTTGGTCGGGTTGGGCCTTCTTATGAACAGCCCTACAAAAGGCCACAGACAATTGGAATGGGATATTATAAACTACATTAATTTTCTGATTAATTTGTTTTGAAAAAGCAATTTTTTTTATAGGCTGAGTTTGGAAGGAGTACAAATGCAAATATGTAGAGTGCAAAACCTTATATTTTGTATTATTTTGTATGTATTTATGTTGTACATATTTGCACTTGTAATCTTTCCAAATACCAACATAGGAAGTAGTTAAGCCAAACTAATAGTATATATTTTGGAGTGAAATTGTCTAAAACTCACCATGAGTTTTCAGCATTTTTCTTAAACTCACAACTTTTCAAAATGTCTAAAACTCACCATGTCACTAACTTGATGTTAAACAGACTAGCGGGTGTTAGTATATTACCATTTTAACCTTCATAGAAAAATATAAAATATATACAAAATAAATTAACAGGTGTTAATATATTACCATCTTAATATTTAGACATGAGAAAAAGGAAAAGTTCAAAAAAATATTTGCAAATATAAAATACATAAAAACATAGAAATTACAAAAAATATAGAAATTGCAAACAAAATAAAAAAATATTTTCAAATTATAGAAACTATAGAAATTGAAAAACAAAATCAGAAAATAAAAATCGTAGAAAAAACACCAAAAATTATAGAAAAACACAGAAATTGTAAATAAATAACAAAAATACAGGAAAACTAATAGATTGTAGAAAATAGAAAAATGTAAAAAAAACAGAAATTATAAAAAACATTAAAAATGCAAAAAAAGAAGAAAATTGAAAACTRAAAAAGACCATTTCTCCTCTAACTCACTATTCAAGGGTAATTTGGTCATGAAAATTGTTATTTATGCTGACATGGACACCTCTGTTAAGAAGCATTAACGGTGCACTAACAGAACKTGAGTTTTGGAAAATAAAAACTTATTGACATGGTGAATTTTAGACATTTTGAAAAGTTATGGTGAGTTTAAGAGAAATGTTGAAAACTCATGGTGAGTTTTAGAAAATTACCCTAYTTTGAAAGACAAAAACACTCACAAGAGAAAAAGGGTTAGTCTTTATAAAACAATAAAAAAAAACTCCCCTTTACTTTACTAGGGATGTGCTCCCTTTATAAATGGTACATGATTTTATAGAGGTAATCTTATCATTGCTAGTCATTGATAAAATAATAAACGTTCTCATAAAGGGGCACATCCCTAGTGAAGATGAATGAAGGGAAGAGTCTTTTGTCTTTTCACTAGGGATATGCTTTCTCCTTTATAAAAAATGGAATGTATTCACACTCCCCTTCTCGAATTATATGTTAATATTTCTTAAAAAAACCCAATGTTATGACTTGTAATAATTTTGGTAATACTCCTAAAAAGTTTATATTACCATGCAGTTACATATACAATAGTAAAAGAAAGATGATTAGAACTAAGTGAAACCATGGTTTT